TTTTTCTTCCTCGATTTTGATAATTGTGAACCATTTTCAAAAAAAAAAAAAAAAACAATAAAAGCCATAATATATATGATATAAAGTTTGAAGGAAAAATTGTTGTGCATCGTGTGATCCAAATTTTTTTATGATTTATTATTCTGTTTTGATTTTTTAATGCAGACTATTTATAATTTTTATATCATCTACGATAGATAAGCTTATATCTTCGTCGTACATAGCAAATATTTACGAATTTACGTGATATAATTTCTTCTTCTAGAAAGCATTAATAATATTCAATCTTCAAAATTTAAAATCGCCTTTATATATTTCTACATCCAGTTGTGCGTTGGGAAGCAACGCCCTTGGTATTGATTTCAGGGTCCGTTGTCTCCCTGCACGATTTTCATGCCTCGTGCAAAGTACTCCAAAACAGCAAATCGATACGAAATATATCCACAATACATATAAATGCCATGAATTAATAACAATTGCATAAAAGATGATTGATCGAGTTGACGAAGATTTAATCGTTAAATATTATTATATGTGTATAAAATATATAGATAAGCGAAGATATAAGATAAGTGTATTTATTCACTTCGCATGATTATCACAAATCAGAAATAATCCGGATAATTGTATATTCTTCATGTTATTCTTAAATTAACATTCGACACAAAATATCCTCTAATGAAAATCTCGATGATCGAGAATATTTTTACAATAATTATCAAGAACGATAAACGAAAAAAATAAAAGCACGGCACGATATTCTTCGAGTATTCATTTTCAAAAGACCTTCGATATTTTTTTTTTTTTTTTCAACATCATGAACAAATTATGCAACACGTCTAACGTCTACTCCTGGTCAATCGTGATATTCCGTTACGTTCCGTTCCAATTTTCTCACGGACAAATGGATGTCACTTCGTCAATTTCAACAATCTACATTTTATTTGTTCCAAGCTGAGAAGGATGCCGGTATTCCATTCGTTCGAATACCGTTAATGCGCATCGTTGTTCGAATTTGTATCGCTTGGAGCCACTTTTTCGAAATCGTGTAAGATGCAAATATAGAACGGCGATACACACGGAAGATTCCATTGAAAAAAAGATGCCTCGTTCACTTCGCGAATTAATTGTATCTTAAATGATTTGCAATTCCGGATTCCATATATTGCTTGAAAAATAATTGTCTGACTTATTATCGATGCCTGTTTATTGGATGAATTTTACACAGGTGCAAAAAAAATTTCACGATTGACACAGATTTAAGTAGCGACGAAAGATACTTCATCAGAAATGAGAATATCCCCTCGGGGGGATATTTCTATTTGTTTTTTTCCGCAAATAACTTCTCTCCTTGCGCATTCCCCGGAATACATTCTCTGGAACGTAAAATTAATAAGATATAATATTAATAATACATAAGATCTTATAAACATGAAGAAAAATAAAGAAAAAATCTAGAAATCATCTAATTAATCATCTAATAATATTGCAACAATTTCAGGTTAAAACAAACGAAAAATATCTAGCTTTAAATTCAAATTTGGTGATAGCGCTTTATCAACGTTGTTATCTGAACGTTGGATCGTGAGCCACAACAACAATTTCACAACGGAACGTTTTGCATGGTCACTTGACCGTGGATAATTAATCGGTGAACGTTTCGTGAAACAGACAGAACTCGGCTCACGTACGTGTCTGCGGCCGTTGTCGGGGCCGGAACCGTGGTCGTCTTCCTTTGGTGGTGGTGGTGGTCCAAAAAGCAGAAGGAGAAGCCACCCTCGCAATGGCGAAAGGTCGGCGAGTTGAGCGACCTGATCGTGTATCCGATCAAGTCGCTCGGCTCTGTTCGAATGAACACGATGGAGTGCACGAAGCTTGGCCTGAAATCTGGCTGGCTGAGGGATCGTACGTTGATGGTCATCGATTTGAACGGACACTTCGTCACCGGCAGGCAGAATCCAAAAATGGTCCAGGTAAGAGAAAACGATTTCCTTCGGAGAGAAAAAGTATCGAGTTTCTCGAAAGGATAATTTGTAAAAAAAAAAAAAAGAAAGATTAAATAGATTTTGAGAAGAGAAGTAATTCTTATCTTGGCACGCGATGAAAACGATAACGGTGCAAGTATAATTATTTCAAGCATTATTTCGTGCAACTGTAGCAAATGATATCGGATAACGAGTTACTAGAGATCATAATCTGACTGAGCGTATCGCTCGCGAAGAAGCTTTTTAAAAAGAAGGAAAAGAATCTCGAGTAAGAATCGTTGCGAAAGCCGGTGAATGGATTATAAGATCGATGCGCGATAATCACGCACTATATTTTCTATCTCGAACGTATTCTTCACGAATCGTTAAGCCTCCTCGTTTACACAATCTTGAACACCATCAATTTGGTTTGAGCTTCCTCTCATTTGCTTCTCGAACAATCGATTTAGGAAGCACTGGAACTTTTATAATCGGGATTAACGAGCTGTTTTATCGTCGTGAAAATTGGAGGAAAATTAATCGTCGAAGGAATTGGACGCGAGCAATTAATTTAAGTATCGCATATTCGTCTTTTGTTCAGCAACTCTTGTTTCTGCTCTGATTCCACGTCTCTTTTTCACCGTGTCGAATACACGACTTTCAACTTTTGGCATTTCTGTTTGAATATTTTGGCATTTCTATTTGGAAAATTTGCAAATCATTTTCGTTTTTTTTTAAATTAAAACGAAATCAAAGAAGTGAAATTTCTTATGATTCGAAGGTGATACCTAAAGTTTCCGGAACGATTCTCACGCTCTCGGCACCTGGAATGATATCCTTCTCCATCGATTTGTCTCGAATCCAAGGGAAAGGGTTTCGCATAGCAGTTTGGGGTCAACCTGTATCCGCCTGTGATTGCGGCGAGGAGGCTGCCAGATGGTTGTCCCGATTTCTCCTCCAGGAAGATACCGGATTCAGATTGGTGTATTATCCACTGGATTATCCAACGAGAGAGATCAGGAAGAGCAATAAACAGTGGTTGCTGACACCCGACGACACTGTAAGTTTTATCGAGTTACAATTAATTAAATAAATAATTAATTAATTAAATTAAGAAAAATGTATATATTATAATCTAAATAATCGAACAGGGCGCGTATCCAGATGCTACCAGCTACTGCTTGATAAACGAAGCATCGGTAACTGACCTGAACAGCCGATTAGAGAAGCCGGTCAACCCCGAACAATTTCGTCCTAACTTCGTGATCAAAGGTGCAACCGCGTACGAAGAGGATACCTGGGGCTGGGTGAAGATCGGTGATGTGATCTTCAAAACTGTTATGCCATGCACCAGATGTATCTTTACCACTGTAGATCCGGAGACAGGAACAAAAAATCCAAAAGTGGAGCCCTTGAAAACTCTGAAAAGGTTCGCTGTTCATTGAACGATATACCCTTAAGCTAACTTTCTTTTCATTTATTACGAAATGTAACATTCTATATTCTTCTGCGTTATTCTTCCGTTGATTACACCGATTTTCTACAGTTACAGACAAATAATGGATCCAATTATTCGTCCGTTGGTCGGCGAGAGTCCAGTACTTGGAATTCACCTTGGATTGAGGAATTCCAACGGCGTGGTGCGAGTAGGGGATCCAGTTTACGTCGGTTTGCCCGAGGAGCAACCACTGTTGATATCGCCACCCTAGCTACACCGGTGGGCTTCCTGCGAGGACGAAATTTTCGTCTTCGAGGAAGCCACGGAATCTTCGAAGGAGGATACTTTGTCGACGGAATTGACGTGCAGTGAGGATTCGTGATTAGAGCATTAATGAAAAGAAGAACAGAAAAGAAAGAGGGAGAAGAAGAGAGAAACGATGATCTGAAAGTGGGCCTACGAAGACAATCGTTTGGCGAGAAGGAAAATTTTCTCGATTAAAGAAATGATGTAATGAATAGTGGCGTGGTATTCAACGATACTTTTACGATAGTTCAAATATCTTTGCCAAATATTCCGCTTTGATGATGAAGCGTTTATTAAAGACGCGTAAGACGTTTGATAAAGTTTCTCGAATATCGAATATTTTTTGCTAAGTTTTGTTAAGTAATCAAAGTGAATGAAATACACGATGATACAATGGTGTAGATACGCGTATTCGTTTATATTTGTATTCGATTATATAAGGAATAAGGAAAAGAGAAGTGGCAGGAGAATACACTTTTGAAATTGACAGGAGTGGTGGAAAGAATATTTAAATTTTACGACAATTTGTATTTGTTTATTTACACTACGAAATAACAGAGACGATTTACAATAAAAGAAATAGCACGTCGAATTTCGAAGATCGACACACTTTTTATGTATCGTTCGAGGATGACCATTTTTCTTGTCTCGCCTTATTCTCCGAGATAAAAGATATCGATATCGTTCCATCTCGTACGCGACGATCGAAATGGTCGAATGAATTTCAAACTAATAATTCTGTACAATAATAACGAGAATCTGTTTAGTTTAGTAGATGGTAACCGCAATCACCGCAGCGGGTTGGCAGCCCTTTGTTATACGTGTACATCGATCGGGAGGAAAGAGACAATGATTGGCACAGTTGCGAATACCAAGAGCATAGCTATATACATTGGACCAAGCGAGATCTTACTCGAATTTGCGTCAATTCTTTATCGCAAAATCGAACGAAAATATTATCGCGATCGATCGATCTTCAGATTTCAAGTATCGCGGCAAAAAAATTACAAAATTCGAACGCGTATTGAAGAAGAAAGAAAGAAAGGAAAGGAAAGAAAGAAAGAAGAACACCGTTTCGACGAAAGTTCGAGCGAAATGAATCTCGCGAGGTGTAAACTTCCTAACCGCTACGTAAGTAACCACAAACTAAATAAGAAAGGTCTATGTAACTACGCATAAAACAAAGAAAAAAAAGAAGAAAAAGTATCAAAAAAGAGAGAGAGAAAGAGAGAGAGAGAAATATCGGAGGACGAGAAGTAGGAAACGAGAGTAGGGAAGCGAAGCACGAGAGTCGAAGAACAAAGATGGATGCCGCCGCGTGGACGTGGAAGTGGAGGACGCGAGGTTAAATTATTTAACGGAACAAAGAGAATTCGATAGCATCGACGACGAGGCGGATTTGGATCTCGGGGACAAGGGGGCAACGCGGTTGTTCGCGTTGCCAACGTCGTACCCGTGCTCCTTGCTCGACAATCACGGCCCAGGAATGGATCTTCGCGTGGTTCCCAAGCGATTTTTCGATCATCGGGCACTTTTCCTTTTTTCCTTACGCTTTGATATCCCATCGCGCGTTTATCCCCTAAATGATGGAAGTGATCAGTCTTGCCTTGAAGTTGACGATGCGTTCGCTCGTCGCTGCCAGGCGCTGAAAACAAAGACGAAAACCAATTTTGGATTACGCATCTCTCTTCGAACATTTGAACATTCGAAGTTTCACATTGAAACTTCAGGATCAGGGAAACAGATTTCTCTTTTTTCGAGTTAATAAAATCTCGAAGAAAAATATCCCGCCTCTTCGATCTTGATTCGAAACGATTCTTAGGGAAAATTAATCGATATTCTCGAATTATCTATCGAATCGTCTCCCCCCGTCGGAGATCGCGCTATTTCCGCGCTCCCAAGGACAGGAACGTTCGCAACGCTTTCGAGGAGACGCTTTCGACACTTTTTACTCGATCACGGTTTCACCGTGACGAGCGCAAGAAACGATTATCGATCTGTTTAGGGCTCGATCATCGGGATCCTTGCGCTCCCAACTTGCGAAGTCGGCTGTGCTCGTAACGAAGTTTTACGGAAAGCAGACAGATTCCACGCGTTGCGCGAAGCGTGAACGCTTTCGAACGAATGTTTCTCGCCGGCGAGCACGTTCGACGAAGATGGCATATAACAAGCGCGATTAACTTTAACAACTTAACGTGCGAGCTCCGTCGTGATAAATTCATCGCTGCTCTCTCTCTCTCTCTCTCTCTATGTTGCGTTCACGCTGCGTTGCTTTCTCTGGTTTTCTCGCGATGCGAGCCTCTCGCTTCAATGAAATAAAGAGGTGTGGACCACCGTCAATTACGAGTAGTGGAAAAACGATAAAACGCGGAATAACATCGTAACCGGATAGCGCGTTCGTTTTTCGGCTTCCACTTTCTTCCCAGCTCGGATTCCAAATGGAACACTCGTGGAAAATATATCGTGCACGAGTCGAGTTTCTCCTTACTCTCAATCAGAGTAACACGACCGATCGATTAATTGGTCCTAATACATATGAATGAATCGATTTTCCCCTAGAATTCTCCGGCGACGGAGAATTAGACGAGATCAATGGCGATCAATGGCCTGTATTGAATAGTTGCTGGCTTGGTTCTTTAGCCGATCGATTTCGCTTTCGTTGTGAATTCACAGCGCTCGAGAGTGAAACGTGATTCGCGAGCGGAACGTTTGAACGTCGATCGGTCTATTTATACATATATATATGTATACGTACGTGGCATGTCAACGCGTTATGATATCTGGAGCAAGACGGACGATTGTTGTATAATTCATGAGTTTGAAAATTTTCCCAAACAACGTTGCCTATTTCGAAATTCTATCAATCGATAGATATTCTACGCAAGAATTAACCAGGGAAATAAGAAATAGTTTCGAAAAGTTTCGCCACGATGACGTCGAAACGTATGCACGTATAACGAGGCAATTGTTTCGAAGGTCGAATCATCCGTCGAAGATCGAGGAAGCGATCGTGTCTGGTCATATCGCGTGTCAGCTTGCTATGGCAGCTTGCATAAGTTAGGCGGCAAATGGACGAGCTGTTTCATAGAGAAAGTCGCTTACATTTTTGCTTTCCATCGATTCTGACGGGGGTCCTTACGTAATCGGCCGGTTTTGTATCTAGAACGACAACACCACGCCACGCTTTTTGCGCGACTTTCGTCTTTTTCCACGCGAAAAATTTAGTCCACGCGAAATTTAAAATATATCTCTTTTCCAGGAAAATTTAATAATCCTTCGTTATTATTAATTTAATCGATGAAGATATCAATTTCATTAAATTAATCGTGTGAATTCCGAGATAGAATTACGATATTTATATTATTATGGTATCTAAAAAATCAGGATGCATCAATCTTCTTACGTGCATCATCTGGAATGATGATTCTAATCGCTCGTGTCTACGTTCCACGTTCATTTATTCATAGAAAATTGCCAACGTCCTGTTTATGTAAACGAAAGGAAAAAAATAATTCTTTTCTTAATATCAACGTGGTTTCACTTTCGAAAAAAATCGATTACGTAAAAACGGACTAAGTTTTTACTAAAAAAAGAAAGAGAAGTTAAAAACAGATTTCTTTCTTCAAAAAATAGGATCGAGAAGCGAATCTGAACAAGCATCGATCACCGATGATCGACCGGAAAATCGTGCATATTCGTTCCGCCGATCTACAATCGTTTCGATCGACTCTTTTTCGCGCGGAAAATTTCTCGCTTCGTTGAGCGTAATCGTAAATTTCGATATCTAATCGTCGAGTTATCATTCATTTAGATAGATATAGTAACAAAAAATCTCCTCGATGCATCATTTATCTTTATTATCCGATAGCTTCAACGATAGCTGATTTATTAAATCAACATTCAGAAAGAGCGAGAGAGAAAGAGATTTAAATATTCAAATTAATTAAGCACAATAATAAGAAATTCAAATTATCGTATCATTTATCTTCATTAGCGCTTCGATTGAATCTACATTCCACGGGGAGAAGAAAGATCGTCCCTATTCGAGAACGATCAATTATATCACGTATATATATATATAAAACAAACCATAAGAGAAAGATTACTCACAAGAATGAGATCCTGTATAAGATTGGCGATTCCTCTGTTGGCGATGACGAAGAGCCTGGTAACCGGCCCCGGGACCGCCTCGTGAACCCCATCGGGTTCCCCGCTCTCGCCACCCGACGAGGAGTCCAGACGACTTCCGCTTCCGGCTACCACCTGCAAATAGCCGCCCAATTTTAATTCGAATTCCAGATAAGCGAGATCATTCTCGCGGAGAGAGAACGAACGAGATCGCGTGAATCGTTCGAAAAAAGAGAGAAAAAAAAAAAATAAAAAAAAATGGAAAGACAGTTGGCGTGTAGTTGCAGCGGCTCCAGCTCGTTCAGTCTATTCGACTACTACGGTGCTCGTATAATAATCATCCTGACCTTCCTACGTTACATTGCTCGTTACATTATCCATTTACTGCTACCGATCCTTACGTGCGCTCCTTCTTCGTGGCTCGTGACGTTATTTCGTGGCGTTTTTTTCGGTCACCGCGATAGGATGTCCATACGCTCGTTTATAAAAACGTAATTCAAACGATTACGTCTTTTATTATAGTGGTAATTCCGATCGAGATCGATATGGACAGCCTACACAGGTGCACTGAGTATGATACAGTAGAGGATGGTTTCACCCAGGGCCCAGAGAGACAGAGAGAGAAAGAGAGAGATAGAGAGAGAGAGAGAGAACAAAGATTACGGTGATAATTTACAGCGTGACGCACGCCCGATCGACGTACTACTTACTTATCCTTACACGCTGCCTTCGATCGAGGAGGAAACACGCGCGTCACGCACCGTGCGTCATCAATTTGCTACCAAGAATTGTTCGTGTGTAGACGAGCGAGTCGGCCAGACGACTCGGCCGAGGTGCGAGAATCTCGCCGGGGAAAACGCATCCTCGCGGCGACGTGAGTTGTAAGGGGAATGGAAGAACGAGAAAGGTGAGGAAAACTCGCGTGGCGGACTCGTCTGGCGGCGGCTCTTTCCTCTTTGCCCTTTGGTTCGACGAATTATGGCTTAACCGAGGCTTATGTAACGATACATATGTACAACGTGATTGTGCAATGATGGAGTACGAGAGTTCGAGATCACAACAACAACAACAACAACAACAACAACAATAACAATAACAATAACAACAGTAACAACAACGAGAGAATCGGCAATCGATGAATGGCTGGCCTGAAACTCCGACGAGTCGGGGAGTCGTCCATCAGCCGGCTGCTTCGCCGAAAGTCTTTAGTCTTTAGCTGGTTTGTCGGTGTCGCGTCGGGACCGTTGGCCGGGTGGAAGGGAGGAAGGAAGGGAGGGAGGGAGGGAGGAAGCCGCGAAAGATCGATAGGAATCGCTTATTCGGGGATTGCTAGTGTTAGTTAGGGAAAATTGTCGCATATACATCACGTTCGAACAACTGAAAGTATCTTTTTTTAATATATATCTAATATTTCTCGAAAATTCTTTATAAATACTCTTTCAGTCGTTCGAAATACAGGAATAACATAGGGATGAGTGTAAACACAGGGATTGGTTAGTGACAACGATGATGCATCGCATCTAACAAGATCTAGCTTACTACACTACAGAAATGAAACGAACCGTGCACCAGCCTTCTTCTTCTATACTAATATACAACTTAATAAGATTAAATGGTGGCGCACAATTCATGCACGATCACAAGGCAAGCGGGATAAGTAGAGAAACGGAGAAGAGAAGCCAGTGGGGAGAGAAGAGAGAGAGAGAGATAGAGAGAGAGAGAGAGAACATGCGAGTTACACGTTCAAGAGGTTAGGCAAACGGAAGACGAAGAACAAACAAATAGGCGAGATGACGTGGAACGAGCAACAGGTAATCGTTAGTCACGTGCGAAGAATACATGGCATGCCGATATAGGATTGCGTTATTTACAGACGTGCAAAGTATTTCCTCCCAATACAATACAATATAATTACTCGAAGATATAAATTCTCTTTTCGAGAAAAAAAAAAATTTCTCTTTCAAATCACGGATGCATCTCCCTGATAAAGATCCCTCAATCGAGAGACTTATCGTCAATGGAAAGGAAAGCGTCTCGAGAATTTAAGTAGACGATAAGTGTAAAAGTAACCATGCTTCTGTTCGATTGAAAATCGTTAAGTAAGAAATCCCTTCACCGAGTGGACAAGCGAGTGTGAGTGAGAGAATATATACACGAACAGAAAGAGACACCGAGTGTAGATAAATAGAGAGTAAGAGAGAGTAAGAGAAGTGTAGTCTCGGCAGTGTCCGTTCGGTTCTGCTCGGAAGGATTGGCGTACCGGTGGTAGGTTGCCGGCTCCTGACGCGGCCGGTGCGCTGGTCGAGGATCCCGCCGTGGTCGAGGAACTAGCGGCAGCAGGGGCGGCACCTTGGGGAACCGGGCCCAAGTCCCGTGAAGCGCTTAAACCGAGCCCTAGGCTCTGCGTACCTGCCACCACGCGGTACACCGTGCCCGCCGCTCTTGCCGCCCCGTCGGCCGCTTGCTAAACGGAAGAGAACAGACTTTCGTTTACTGATCCGTTCCTTGGAGAACAGCCTGTTTAGTCGTTCTTTTCTTTTCTTTCTTTCTTTAGTTCGTTCGCGATTGCCGCGTTTTTGCCCCTTCCGCTTCCACATCATACTCTCGATCGTTGACGAACACGGAGATCCTGTAAAGCGGCTGAAATTGTTCTTTAGCGATTCTTGACCAGCCGACCATTTTTATTTTCTTTCTTTCTTTCTTTCTTTTTTTCTTTGTATCAATTGTTTTTTTAATCGAACGTGTATTTATGTTTATATATTCGGATCCATAGGTATTTTTTTCTTTTTTTTTTTTTTTTTTTCAATTTTTTTTTTTATTGAACCTTTTTTTTTTTTTTTATATTCCGATCCCTAGGTTTTTTTTTTTTTTTTTTTTTTTTTTTTTTTTTGGAGATGAGATTCTTTTCGTGAGATCTAGGGAAGGATCTAGAACAGAGGTTGCGTTGGACGTGAAAACGTTTCAATCTTTCGTGGCTAAGATTTCAAGGAAACGAACGGCAGTTTTTCGACTCCGTAAAAGGAGGTCGATCTATCGACTAGTTTCGAGCGTGTTATTCATGATCACGTAGGTTTTCCTGGCGTACGTGGACAATGGTAATTGGCGAGAGAACACGTGATAGATAAGATAAGAATTCGCAATTTTCCCCCCATGATCAGTTGGAAGAAAAAAAAAAAAAATCTCGTTTAATTGGAATTCGAAAAAAACGTCGTAACGTCGAAAATAGAAAAAAAAACTAATAATCGTTTACGCGATACCGATCACCGAACAATTTCGCAATTAATCCTCGAACATAATCGCGGCACAGAAAATAAAGTCACGGGTTTCTCTCTTACCGCGCACATCCTGAGACGATGCATCTATTTCTCGTTTTTTCTCTCACTTTTTTTTCTTTTTTTTTTTTTTTTTTTCCTTTCGTCTATCGAGGACGCTACGATCTTGTCGCTCATCCACGAGGCCGGGTTGTGCCTAGGTCAGGAACCTTGGAATAGTAACCAGCCACGATACAACCAGGCAATTCGGTCGGTAGACTTTCACCTACCATGCGCTAGGTAGAGCAGGCGCCCTTGCCGGTGTCCCCCTATTCGCCTCTTACTTGAATATTAAACTAACTATCCGATTCGTATCTCGCTCGCATTATCGATTATTTATTCCAACGTATAATCTTTTTTTTCTTTTTCTTACATCGACTATTTTTATCAATCGCCATCTTTCCCCCCCCTCATATCCACATATATAATCTATATAAAAGAAAACAAACCGATTAACCGATTTTTTCCTTTTCTTTTTGCAACTATTCAATTGCAAATTGATCGATCGCTATTCTATATCTATGTCGCAATCGAATGAATCATCCTGAATCTCGAATTCGCCTCGTTTTACATTTATCATCGATTGAAAAAAAAAAGAAAAATGGATGACACGCGAGGATCGTCCTTACAACTTACCCTTAGAATGTCGAAGAGGAAGTTGCCGGATCCCGCCCCGCTTGATCCGGAACCGCTCAACCCGCCGAGGCTGGAAAGGAACCTTTTGTTCCTGTTCTCGTCGTCCTCGCTCCCCACCTCGTCGAGAGGCGTCAAAGGCGCGACCGCGTCCGCCGCACCCTCCTCGTCCGCGAACTGCACTTTGACCTCGTTCTTCTGCGACTCGGCCGCCTGTTGCACCTCGTTCGCCCTGTCCTCCGTTTCCGGGTTCACGTCCTGCCGGGAAACAGAGAGCGGAGAAGATTTCAATTCGTCGATCTCGAGAGAGAGAGCGAGCGCCTCTCAAAAAATCGGTCGGTCGATCGTCATCGAACTCGACGATTCCCGTGGATCCCCTTTGCATTCCCTTTGTCACGTTACGATGTGTTCGAGCAACACTGTGTTATTCGCAATACAGGCGATATCGAAGTCGATGGATTGGAGTTCGTTCGTTTGGAGTATCGGGCTCGATGACGATCGAGCAAGAGAGAAAAAAGATATTATTGCTTTCTTTTTTACTCGTGAGGCGACGAAGCGTGAGACGCGCGTACTCGCGATGTCTCGTGATCGGGACGCGCATCGATTGTGACTCTTAACAAGTTTCACGTTTCGCTACAAATACTCGGCAAGAGGCGAGAGAGAGGAAGAAGAGAAGAAGAAGAAGAAGAAGAAGAAGAAGAAGAAGAGGAAGAAGAGAACGTAAAGACGCGAGTGACTTTGATGATGGAATCGTGATGGCGAATTATACTCGTAACAAATTCTAGGTAAATTTTCTTTTCTCTCCTCTTCTTGATTCCTGTGAAAGATTGGAAGATAGGGAGGGACGCAACGAGAAGAATTTAATTGACGAGTATCGCGTCGAGATGGAGAAAGTGAACCGATTTCGATGATCGATCGAGAAGAAAAAGAGAAAAAATAATAATAAGGAGGCGAGAGAATTGATTAATCTCGAAGAACGAGAGAGAAAAAGAGAGAAAGAGAGAAAGATAAAAAAATCGAGCGAGGAAGAGAGTATGATGACAAACTGGTGACAGAGATATCGTGCTAAAAACATAGAGATAGCGAAGCTGGTACAATAGAAAACGGTACTAATGATATTCACACACGTGAAACGCACACATAGAGAAACGCACACGGTTAGAGCAAACATAGCGGAGAACGTGGTAGTGGTGGTGGTGGTGGTGGTGGTGGTGGTGGTTGTGAACGAGATAACAAGATAACAGATTTGCCCGCAGCAGTCCTGATTGCGCGGTGATCGTCCTTGCCGGGATTCTTATTCTTCGCTCTGTCAAGTTTTCATTGACCTCCAACGTGTTACCGATCTGTCCGCCGCAAGTTGGTCACACGACCGTGTTGGCCCCATCCTGGCCGCTACCGATCGTGGTTGACTCGATCGTGGTTGATNCGCTCGCCGCCACCTCGTCCTCGTCAGGCGGAAACGTCGGCAACGATATCGACACTTTCGAACCGTCATTGCTGGTCGAGACGAAGTTATTATTGTCGTCGTCTTTGAACGGCGATTCCGGCCTCGCCATCAAACTCTCGCTCGACGAGCCTCCTCCTGTCTTCTGTCTATTCCCGAGAGCTGATTGGAGAAGGATCGGCCCGAATATTCGGATGAATTCCGCGACAATCGAGTTCACCTTTTGTTCGATCATCTAGAAAACAATACCTCTTAGCTCCGTGGCCAGTCTCGTCGACCCTTCCTCTCGTTTATTAACTTGTCGTCGTTTCTCATTCATTATCGATTTTTCTTTTTTTTTTTTTTTTTTTTGATCGTTAATCGTCGTCGAGTTACGTCGTCCGTTAAAGATCGTTTTCCAAGATATTCGTTCGATGATCGATGATAGGATGAATGGTCGCAACGCGTCGAAGGCAACGTTCGAACGCGTCGTGTTTATTTTTTTTTTTTTTCTTTTTCGAAAATCGAGAGATTTCAAGCGAGATAATGGTACGATAATCGTAAATCGATCGTATTTTTCCTCCGCTTTTTTTTATCCGGTGGAAATTCGAACCCGTCGTTTTCGATGGAAAAACTTTCGGTTTTTAATCGAGCGTAATCTTAATTCACGGAGGGGGAAGGGGAGAGGTAATTGAATATAAATAAACGCGCGTTGGTTGCGCAATCGGCAGAAACAGAAACGCACGGGAAACGAGGAAACTCTCATCGTGAATCGTGAATCAAACGTGCGACTAACTTTCTTGGGAGGAATGCCGATTCACTCGCGAACAATTTCTCCTCGGCTTTAAACCGACACGGGGAGTACTAATGAAACGTTTTCGTTCGACGATATAATCTCTCAATTCGCCCGTTTTAATGCGGGAAAGCGGCGAACCGTGGAACACGAGGCGTTCAAGGTCCTTGTCTCCTGCCTCGAAATCGACGGCTCTCGAAATATAATCGGATCGAATTCGATCGAAATAACGGCCCTTGTCTACGGGTGAAGGGGGTGGCGGTGAGGAGTGGGGAGTGAATTTTGCTTTTTATCGAGTTTTATCGATAAGGTCCTGGCCGTCTGCAGGATTTCTTTTCACGTTTTTGTTGTCAGCAGCGGCTCACCTGAGAAATTTCGGGGAACACTTCACGCAGGATACCGATCGTCCGTTTGCTCCTTAGGGCGTCCTTATCGTCGTCTGCTTCGATCAGCATCAATCGATCGAGTGCCTGAAAAAAGTTTTTTCCCTTCTTTCCTTTCTGCCCCTGCAAACCTCGTTTTCACACCTTCGTGCAATTACAACGTTCTTCCGTCACGAGAAATCGTGGGCGTATCGTGGTAGAGTGTCGTCGAAAAAACTCGTGGAAGAGACACGTCGGGATAACGAAACGGGGGGTTGCGCAACGATCGCCAATAAGAACAATGATGCGTATAGGAGAGGCATAAACTTGGTGTTCTCAAGTGCTCTTACACACCAATTTTCGTCATCGCGCGAAATCAACGCGTGTCGATCGTTTTAACGGGCCGAGCGAGGTTTGGAAAATTGATGGAAATTTGCGAGCGCACGAAATCGGTCGTGAAAAGGAAAATTACGCACCGTTTGACGAGCCGATGTTACGCATTTGTTTGCATCGGCGCTGCTTACAATTTTCCAATCATCGCGATTATTACGTTACATAGTGGTTACATTACGTTTGTTTACGATTACGCGCTATATGAATTCTCGTTATACTGTAGGAAATCGTGGTAATACGCGTAATTCTTTTCTCCTCTCGTATAATTTCGTGTAGCGAATTTCATATAGCGGGAGGAAAACGATCATCCAATGCTCGACCGAAACGGTCGTTACAACTCTCGAATCGGGTACAACAAAAACTTGCGTTTGTTATTTATATAGGAATTATATTAGTTATGTAGGAATTCGCGGAATTGTAGGAAATTCTACGCTGTACTTTGTCATTTCTTTGTTTATTCTTCCTCTCGCACGTCTATGGCGTCTCACGGAGTGAACTTGTCCATGCGTTTTGCAATAAATTTATTCGATAAATTAATTAAGCTATTCTGCCACTAGGACGGTCATCGTACTCAAAAGTTGCTCAACCTGGTTACCGTGGTTCACTTTCCCCTATATACAACGCTCACGTCCGAGCTGTTACGATATTTGTCCCCGGCTGTTATCTACATTCGCAACTAGTTTTTACGCTCATCGTAATCTCCTCTCGCAAAGTAAATCATCTTGAACGATGTACCTACTTTTTATTTATTTATCTCTTTCCTTCTCGAGGAACGAGTTGGAACAACAAAGGTTTCCAGAAAAACGACCCAGAGGAACGAAGAGTTGGAAATGCGAGGAACACGATATCTTGGATCGCCGGCATCGAAATCTCCGAAATTCGGCGCCAGATCTCGAAACGCGATTCCTTTGAATTTTTAACCGCGAGTCGACGGACGAACGATTCTGTTCAGCGGTCAGGATATAATGGAAAAATATCCATTGGACGAAATAGGAGTTTGGGAACCACTGGAGGAGATGGAGGAGGCAGAAACACGCGCGTGCACGTGAGCGCGTGCACATACGCACGCGCTTTCCATTGGGCATCGATCGAGCGAAGAAAGTGTCCGGTGTAACCCTGTAAGTGTTCGCGGCCAGTGAAAGTGTCGAGCGGCTCGAAGAAGAGGAGAGCCGTTCCGACTTTTCGTCGTACGCTTCGCCGTTCCTAGAACCGAACGGCTTCGCCCTCCCACTCGCGCCTGCCTAACCTTTCCCATTTTAAAAAAAAAAAATCATTCCACGAGAATCGCTTTCGCGATTTTGTGACGTATATGTATACGCGCGCATCTGTGTGTATATGTATATATATATACACTGCATATTTGAGATTGAAAAAAAAATAAAACGAAGTAACGATTCTTCCAAGAATGCATCAAAACTTAGAAGGTTTTTCGCGTTATTTTTCCGCTCGTTTGAAAAAAAAAAAAAAAGAACGATCGATTAGCATCGGTGTTATTTAAGCGATGATAACGAAGGAATTTCCCTCTTTTGTCAATATTAGCTCTCCGGACAATGTCACGATCAAATTAATTAAAACGTTTGCACATGCATCTTACGATGCTCCATCCGAAGGTCGTTCAAACCCAGTGGCGATAAAACTTGCATCGGCGGTGCGAGTCATCGTCGGATGTTGTAAATGAAAATCAAACACACGGCGGGTGTGTGCGTGCGTGTGTACGAGGATTACACGTGACGTGGATGCGCCGAGGATCGAGTATCTTAGAAGCGCCGGATTACTGGCGCGAGGTCGTAGCACTCATCCGAGTGAAAGAGGCTCCATCGAAAGTGAAACATCGATTCTCCAACGATCTTACGACGTCCCAAGGGAAGCCAAGATTTTCGAAAAATCGAGAAACGCTTCATCGATCTCGCGAATTTTTCTCAGAGAAAAAACGCATTTCTTCTTCAGAGTTGTTTTTCGAACATTTTTTGTACTCGAGAAAATATGGCAACTATTTGGATATAAATATTTTATATCGAATATTTATAAATAAATGAAGAAATAAGGGGAGAGGATAATCGATCGAGATGTTGCTGGCTCAGTGATACAGAGAAAACCGAAGTCGTAAGCCGATTGTTTTTGTCGATCACGATTTACGTCACCTTTCGGTCGAGAGCGGATTAGAATTCCGCTCGAAAAGGAATTGATTTTTCGAAACGGGGGGAGGATCGAATAATCGTGGAATTTTTTTCTATTATTATCGATCGATGCCGCCAAGTTCGAGAGAGATTACAACATTCCTTAAGAATATTCAGCTATGTCGAGATCGCGTCCGCAATGTCAAGATTATTATATCGCCCACGGCGAGGAGAGACGTACAAATTCCAAAGTTTCCAAGATGGACAGGTGTTCGTCGACACCGGCCGACTTACCTCGGATTTAATTTGCTCCTCGGAATGTGGATACGCGATGACCGAGCCCATGCACATGGCTGTTGCCAAAATCACGATGATCTTCATCTTCGTCTCTTTTTCCTTTTTCTTCTTCTTTTTTTTTTTTTTGCGTATCTGCGAAAAGAAAGGAGCGCAGTTTAGAGGATAAAAAAGACATCTGTTTAATTCATCGGAAGAATTTGTAAATAATCGATGCGGAAAGGATTGCGAAGAAACGCGATGAGAAGGCGAAGGTGTATACATCTATATCGTGGAGGAGGGAGCGATAGCTCTCCTTTCTCGTATCCAGCCTCGAAACTATCACTTTCGACCGAATGAAAGTCGTGGAACGCCGCTGGCAATCTCAGATTCTTGTCGAAAGATGGTCTCGTCGCGACGCGTCTCGTCACGAATTCGAGCTCGATCGAGGAAACGATCGAACGAATCTCTGCTTTTCTTAAATTTAACTTTAAAACTCGTTGAAACTCGTTTGAAGGGACAAATGATAATAATTTATTATAGGAAATATTTTTTTTCTTATTATTACTGTTATTATTATCACACCCGTGATATTCGTTGCGCGATAAATTGAAAATTATAATGCAAGTGTCGCTCGGTTCAATTTATAATTGCAACGGCGAACAGCCGGAATACAATGGTGGCCACACATCGGTAGAGGATAATATAGATTCAGCACGCATATCGTGTCGTACCCGATGGTGTAACGATGCGCACTCGAGGTCGGATATTGGCAAATTTCGTTAATTAATTTTCGTCGACGAAACTTTTACTTATCGATAAACTTCTAATCGAGTAAAATGTACGAACAACGCAAGCAGGAAAGTTGGAATGACGAGGCAAAACGCGGAGCAGAGACACGTGCGTTTCGCGAGATTGTCACGGTTCAATGGAAATATACGTATTTTCCTCAATCTGGAAAGTCGAGTTTCGATTATCTCTCTCTTTCCCTCTCTCTCTCTCTCTCTATACATATACGTATATTGTTACGATCACTTCACTTTAATATTTTCACTCTGGCGAAAAGTTTTTTTTCGTGCATTTCCTGAGAAATTATCGAGCGTTTCGACTTAGAATTGCTTCGATTAATTTTTCACGAGGAACGAAGATATTTCAATCCGAACGATTTTTTTTTATCTTCAAACTGTTGAATCTCCAAACTGCTCGATAATTTCCTCGCCGAACACGTCAGGCCGTCACGTGGAGTGGCATTTCGCGCGAGTGAACATCGAAACGAAGAGAGAGAGGAAACAAAAAGAGGAGAAAGAGAAAGAGAGAGAGAGAAGAAAAAAAGAGTTCACGACGAATCTCACGTTCCGAAGGGAAAAACTCACCACACCACGCGATTCGCAAACGAACACGACAGAACTTTTGAACCTGAGTTGAAGAAAATGGAAAAGGAGCTCTCCGCGGCTCCTGCTCTCCTCGACTTTTCTGTGACTGTCTGTGTAACGGAGCTTAGTGAGCGGCTTTTATTAGAAGGAGGGGACTGGCGCTACCACCACGCTACACTTCGCTCTCCGACCTCTCCGTTTCTCTTTCTTTACGCGCCGCGATCCTTAAGAAGGGGTCGTCCCCAAGCGTTGCTCGGATCGGTGCAAGATCCTCCGCACGACCGTGAACATCCACGAGTCGGAAGTGTCATCCGCGTCGTGTCGACCGTATCTTTCTTCCATCTTTCTCTTTATCGATCGCTCGATGAATAATCATCGCGGCCGATACGAATTGAATTTTTCGGAATCTTCGTTACAAAACGGAGAGAAAGATTTATCTTCGATTCAGGGCCGATGAATATTTACGCGAATTATGTCATGCGAAAAAACGGCTCGGCACGTGTCGCTATTTCCAATGTAAATATCGGATATTTCGCACCGTTCAAAACGAATCGTTTTTCGTTTTCTCTCCCGTTATTGATTAAAATAAAACTAGTTTTCTTTCGCTTTCTGCATCTTATTATATACGACGACCTATGTTGAAATCTCTTTTTTACATTTTTTTTTTACATTTTAGATACAAGATCTCGATTTTTCGTTCACGAATAATGAATAGATATATATATATAGAAAAAAGAACAGGTTTGAGATGTGGAGAGTGTTGGCTCCCTGCACGAGAAAAGATCCTCAGTAGATTCCGCCCGTGCGCGGTCAGACGTTTATCGCGGATTATGAATACCAAGCGCAACAATAGTTCAGCATTTAATTAGACAGTTCCAGAAAGAAAGTTTCCAGCAATTCCATCCGCAGCGTACTCGATAATCCTCGAATAAAAGATCGGATTTATTATCATGATATGAATATCTTTTTTCTCTTCTTTGGAATACGACTCAACGTTTCACGTAGTATCACGTAGTGAAAATCTTATTACGATCTCGTGGAAAAGATCGATCCGCGTCCAACCGCAAAACTATCCGTTCCAAGTTATTGCCCGATTGTTTGTTCAACTAGAAACTTGCTTGAAATTTATAAAATTCCGCCGTTTTATTTTATCCGCCGTTTACTTGCTACAAATTACGCCTCCTCCTCGAACGAACGAATACCTTTTGCACCGTTCGTCCAGTTATTTTGAATTTTAGAAACTGACCTCGTATTCGGTTCATTCATTATAAATCGAACGAAGAGAGAGAGAGAGAGAGAGAGAGAGAGAGATAAAGAAAAGGAGGCGAGACACGCATCGCTAATTCTCGACAAAGAAATCGTCACGATCGATCGATCTCGGGAAACGAGATATCTCTATCCATCTCTCTCTCCGCGTGTTCGTCACTCGAGTTTGTCAAAAATTTGGTAATGTCGATGTCGAAAGTCGCTCTTGCGCCAAGTTTCTTCACGTTTTCTCTCTAATATTCTTCAAGGGAATAATTTAATTCACCGTTGTTCACACCGAGTTTCGGGCACAGAAATATATATCACGAAATTTGTATACTCTTTTCTTCTCACGTTGAGAAGAGAGACAATTTTTTTCGAACTATTCTATAGTCCCCGGTTTATGACGTGAGATTTTCTATGAGTAATTTTTATTATTTGTACTAGTACTACGAAAAAAAAAAAAAAAAATAAAAGAACGTTCATTAAACGCAAGGTCGATACAGCAAGTTTGAAGAATTTTCCTTGAACTCGCTCAAAATTATGTACGGGCCCTTCGAGCGATGTGTTCGTGACCTTGAATTTTATTAATCGTAT